GTCCGATGACCTGCAGAACAAAATGCTGAGAGATGAATAATCACGCTCGAGCGTTAACGCTCGCTCGAGCGGAAAAGCAAAAACAAAAGGATCTGCTAGAGCGTCAAAAGTCCCGCTCGAGCGTGAAGGCCAAAATCTGGGCATCAACTTTTGGTTTCTAAACACAACCAACCTGTTTCCAACCTGCCCAACACAACCCAAGACTCAAATATAAAGAGTAAAGGATAGAAATGAGAATATGACCATAACACATCCACAGAACCGAGTCCGGAATACAATTAAACAAGAAAAGGGAAAACCGGGATCGCTATATATATATATTTTTTTTTTTGAGTAATGCTAGGGATAGAAAATTTTCTACCAAATATCTCACATGGGTATGGGGCCCACAAAAAATGGACCCCACACCCATATGAGACATTTAGTCATTCATTTGGTAGAAAATTTGGGGCCTATAGTATTTTAATTTTTTTTTATTGAAAATAGACACATGAGCAGCATCTGTTATAATTTTGTAGATAAAATTATAAATTTGTTAGATTTAGTAAGTTAATCTTAACCAACTCAATAACTATTTTCTTGTAAAAACCTTAACCGACATTATCAATTGGACTAGATTGACACAAAATCTAAAATTAATGGTCAATATAGCGATCCCCATTTCTAATTCGACCTTTATGGTGTTTCGGACTCAGGTCTTGTGGTTAATGTTGTTATTTATGCCTTTTCTCTCTTTCCACTCTTTGAATTTGAGTTTTGGAATGTCTTGAGCGTGTTTAGAACAGGTTAGTTGGTTGTTGGTCTAGAACCTTGTTGCCCAAAATTTTGGTCTTCCGCTCGAGCGGGCCTTATTGCGCTCGAGCGGGGTTTGCAATCATTCAGTACTTTGTGTGTCTGCAAAATACTGCAGAAGTGTTTTTCACGATTGAGCGGAGTTGCTTACGCTCGAGCGGGTCTGAGCTCGAGCGGCCCCTCTAGCGCTCGAGCGGCAGTCTGAAATCTGTAAAATACTGGACGAGTGTATTCTACGCTCAAGCGGGTCTCACTGCACTTGAGCGGGTAGTGCCTTGCTATTGTGTCATGGCGCTCGAGCGGGTCTAATTTTTGTGTCTGACGCTCGAGCGTTAAACTCTCTGCTCAAGCGGACTGTACGTATATCAAATCGCGAAAGTGATATTTTAAATCACTTTTTCTGTCTTTTCTCTCTCTCTCTCCAACTTTCCAAAACCTTAAGTTGAGAGCTTCTCTCTCTAAAATACTCTCTCTCTCTCTCTCTCTCTCTCTCTCTCTCTCTCTCTCTCTCTCTCGCTCTCGCTCTCGCTCTACATTTTGACCTAGATCTAGTGATCTCTTCACCCTCCTTCATTTGATAAAAAGTTTGAGCTCTTCAAGATCTCCATTTTCATCTGAGTAGAAGCTGGTTTCGTCCTCCTTGGAGTTTATCTCGTGCTTGGCTCTTCTCCTTTGGGATTTTACACTTGAGGTAAGGATATTCTACTCTCCTATATGGGTTTTAACATAGATAATGGTCATTTTGTATAAATGGGTGGTTTGGGTGAAGTTAGGGTTTGGGTCTTGATTTGAGAAAGAGGGATTTTCTAATTAAAACTCCTTATGTGTAAGAGGTATCTTAAAAATGAGGTTAATGGTGTATAATTGTTGAAATGGTGAGATTTGGACTTTGGGTCAATGTTTTTGGGATTTGAGGGAAAATGCCCTAGTTTGAAATTAAATAACTATTTTGTGTAAATAGTGGATTTTGTTGTGTAATTAATGAAATTGGCTTGGAAATTATGGAATTGAAGGAACATGTGATTAAATGGTGTAATTGGATTGATAAATCACTCACCTATGAAAAAGTTGATAAATTTATTTATCTGTTTAGAAATAACTGTTTTGGGCTATCGGTGGAGGATAGCCATGATTGTTATAGAAACTGCATGATGATTAGGTAAATTGGAACTAATCAATTAGAATATGTCATTGAATATGATGGTTGGATGTGAACATTGTATATGTGATTGAACTGGTCATTGTATATGACAATCTGTTTAAATACATTGTATATGTATATTGTTTGGGAGGAGATAGGGGATGCACTCCATTGTTTGGGATGAGATAAGGGATGGACTCCATGGATAATTAAGTTGGCCGGAGTGTCTAGGGTGAAAGTCCCGAAATCGTATTTATATTTGGGTGCCGGTTCCCTCGGACGTAGTTTTGTAAAATGACAAGTGAATGGAAGTGTATGAATGATATTTATAATTGAATTGTTGATGAATGAGTTGTAGTCTCGTTTCGAATTGTTTGAATAACAATAAGCTATGTAAATGAAATGATTTTGATAAGTAAAGGGAAGTGGATTGATTAAGATATCCATGTTGTTTTGTAGTGGGTTTGGTGTAAGTTGGTTTACAAGTGTTAAACATTTATCAAATGCTAATGTTTTAGTTAATTCTCATATGTTGTTTAACATATTTCTACTGGGCTTTGGCTCACCCTACTTGGGACACCATTTTTCCGGTACAGGTGATATGCCGCCTCCAAGGTCTTAGCTTGGGAGGTTTATAAGTTGAAGACTCCGTTTTGTTATTTATATTTTGTGTTAAATGTAAATCTAAGCCGAGGGCTTTTCATGTATAGAGTTAGAACTCTTCTTTTGTTGTAACCAAGTGATAACTTGGAAAGCTGTAAGCCCGTAAGGCATTTACTTTGATGTTAACATGTAATATCTTTTGTAAATAAGACTTTGATGAATGAAAATGTACTTTTTTTTTTTTATGTTCATGGAACTTGTGAATGAATGATTTATATCTTAATTTGAGGGCGTTACAGTCAAAATTACAGAGATCAAATTGACACAAGAAATAAAATGCGGGGACTATCGATATAATTTACCCTTTTTAAAATATGTCTAATATTGATTGTATCAATATTAAAATATATTTATATCTGAAAAACTATTTAAGACCAGATTAGGTTAGAACCTGAATAAAAAATTGATGATTTAGTAAAAATATTTAATAATCATAAATTTAAATTTGATCAATTTTTCATTAAATTATTTTCATAATATAATTTATAATTCCAATTTTTCTTTGTATTTTTTAAAATTATATAATTATCATTCCTTTTGAACTTTCCTTTTCAATCTCAAATTAGTTATAACTTGAATTATATATAATTTATTTTTGACTCCTCATCTACAAAAACTAACAATGAACATAAAATTGTTTTTGAACATTGTAAAAAATAAATAAAGAAATATATTATCAATAATAATAATAATAATAACAAAACATATTTTCATTTATCATGTGATGTCTCATCTCTACATTGATAATAGGCATTAATAATAAAACTCATTACAATAATACAACAATAATATATCAGATGATAAGTAACATGTAATCACAATAATTTTTTTATAGTGATACAAAAGTATCCAAAATGATATGTAAAAAAACAATATATGATCTATATTCAATTTTTATATAGTAAAATTCACATTTAATCTCAACCACACATTAGTTTTCTAAATCAATTCATCACCCAAAATATCTACTATTTTTTTAAGTAATATTCACATTTTCAAAACCCACCCAAACAATACTTTGAGCTCATCATCATCATCATCCTTGTTGTTGTCATGCTCACTACCTCCATTGACCATTATGAAACTCCAGTCTACTTTTTTATCTTTACAAATTTAAAAAGACAATGTTGGAGAAATAAAAAGATACCGTTAGAGTTTTAAAGAGTTAAAAATAAAAAATAATAAAAAATGTGTGGTTTTGGTTTTTCTTATTCCATATATGGTTGATAAATTTTTTTTTAAAGAGTTAAAAATAAAAAATGAAAAAAATGTGTGGTTTTTGTTTTTCTTATTCCATATATGGGTGATAATTTTTTTTTTTTTTTTAAATCCATATATTATAGAACATTGTTCATTATTTAAAATTTTATTTATTGATAGGCAAGTCAATTAAATGTTTTTAATTTTTTACAAATAAAAAAATTTGAAAATTTTGTTTAAGAAATTTTAAAAAATATAGTCAAATCATAAAGAACAATATAAGACGTCCTATTCTTTAAAAAAAAAAAAAAAACTGATAACTGTATTATCAATTTACATATATCAAAAATAATAATAACAACAATATAAAAAATACACAAACATCTACCAAAAAAAAAATAATAATAAAAATTTAAATTAACTCCCAAAACAAAGATACTTAAACAGATATATATTTATTATCAATTTAGTTGGAAAAAAAAGTCATATAGAGAAGAAAAAAAAAATACTCACACGAAAATAGAAGTTTACAAAATAAATAAATAAATAAATAAAAATAACAAACAAACAAACTTGAAATAAGTTTGGACAATTGACAAAGAGAGACTAACCTTTGCATCATTACATTTGGAAAGGAGTTGGTTGGGCTAAAAAAATGATCAAATATTGGGTATTCTAAAGAGAGAATTGTATTGAATTTTTATTTTGATTGGGTTTTTAAAATTTTAAGATTTATGTTATTTTCGAAAAGAGTCAGGATAGCTTACTGAAATTCAAATCCATAAATAATTAGTGCATTTATTGTTTCTTTATTTGAATTATTTTGATTAGAATTATTTTTGAAAAGAAAGAGGGTGACTTATCATATTGTTTTGAATTTTAAAATTTAAAATCATAGATAATTAGAGCCTTTTTTTGTTTTTAGTTTTTTGACTTAATGAACTAACCAATAGATTTTTTTTTTATTTAAATTTCTTTGAAATTAAGAAATTAACAAAATTAGTTTGAGAGTTTGGAACTCCTACAGTATTCTTAAAAATCCCATTTTCCTCATATAATATTGTCACGACCCAAACCTGCCCCTATAGGTTTAGCATCGTAACGAGCCAGTAATCCTTGGATTACCGAAGGCCTCTGAACAGATTAACAAAATTAAGGAACTAGTGAAAGCTAATACATAAATATAATTGTCCAATGAGCTGTGTTGACTTATATGAAACGGAATATTTAAAAACTTTATATACATAATTAAAAGTCATTCATACATTATACCCACACACATTAGAGTATCGTAAGTACAACCAACAGAACAACCGAGTCTTATTTATACAGAAACAACAGAACTTAAACACTTGAGACACTCTAGGAACCTCCACATGAGGCAGAAGGGTTAGCTGACAACAGAACACAGATCCAGACAAAAGCCTTCAGACTCGATCTCCAGAATGCCCACCTATACATATATATACACACAGTGAGCTAAAGCCTAGTGAATAACATCAATGTAAGGAGGTTAGTGAACGAAATCTGAACAATATCATAAGCGTATAACAGATCATAGCATAATCATTCTCGTATCAGAACATAATAATGGTACATCTCATAGAACACATCACATAACGTCTTCCGACTAGAGTAATCGGTTCCGGATACCGATTAAACACATATCACCACAATGAATTGGCTAACGAGATCTCGTAATCACATGAATGTCATGGACCCGCATTAACATGTCGTCTCCCATGACTTAGGACTATCTATGGATGCCATAATAGATTTCAAACATAGAACATCGTTCACGAAAACAGATATCATTTCAGAAATGGTGACTTATCATAATTCATTTGAAACATAATTCATATGAACGCATCTTTACGTTACTCACAGTGGTTCTCGGAAACGGTCAATCAATCTCCAGACGTTGACCTACAGACACAAAAGCACATAACACAAACATATCTTATCATTACACATTCAGGTGGCCATTACGGCTTAGCTTTCATTACAATAGCTCATATTCTTTCTTATCACATTGCTTAAAACACACTCTTATAAACTCTTAACTTAATACATTCTTTTTCTTAGTGTGTTTCTAATCCATAACCTCATTACCATGGCTTAATTAAGGCTTAGAAATGCCTAAGATGTAATGAGGATGCCAAAATATTTTGAAAAACACTTAGTCAAATTTCTGAAAACAGGATCCCCGCTCGAGCGGACATGCAAAATGAGGGTGGTCGCTCGAGCGCAGGTTCCCTCGCTCGAGCGGTCTGTAAAGATATGAAACTTCTGGGAGCTTGCAATTCACGCTCAAGCGTACTTTAGGTCACACGAGCAGAAGTGCACACACAAACAATGGTCGCTCGAGCGTGAACTCCCACGCTCGAGCATAGATACAAATTTTGGAATTTCCAGATTGCACCCCCAAGCTCAAAACTCGAATTTCAAACTTCAAAACACATCTCTTGGGCCCTAAAACTTGAGATAACCTAGCAAACTTGTAAAACATGATGAATTAAGGATTATTTCATAAAATCATGGCCCAAGAGTTTTCCAAAAACTCACAATTTCAACTTAAACTTTAAGAATGTTCATGAACACAACATGCATGAATTTTCTTGATCTTAAGCTTCTCAAAAAATGATCAAATACCACAAAACAACTAGAAACTTGATGATTTCCCATAATTAAGATGAATTTCAAACATGCATGAGAAAATTCTTGAAAATCATGCTCAATTTGTAAAGGAATAGACATGCATGCAAAACTTTTCAATCTCTTTGCTCCAAACTCTTGAAACTTGTAAATTGAGCTCATAAGCTCCATGCATGTAAGAAATCTCTTTTCAAAACATGAAATCAAGGTTCAAAACATGATAATTCAAACATGGATGATATGAATCATGTTTAAAATGAAGAAATTAAACTAAACTAAGCATGCATGTATGAATTACAACTCAAATCTTCATTCAAAGCTTATTTTATGCAATTAAACTCATGATCTTGATGAAATCTCATGCTAATAACTTAGATGCACAATCTAGAGGTTGCAATCTTACCTAAAGTCTTCAATAGCTAGATATTTGCACAATCTTTGACCAATTCAAGCTATAGCCTTCAATTTCTCCTTAATCTCTACCTTTCTCTCTCTAGGATTGCACTCTCACTCTCTCTAAAATGAATTCTCAGATTTTGACACTCAAGGAATGAGGGGAAAAGAGCTAAATGTGTTGAATATATAGTTATGATGCTAAAATACATTAATTGGAACATTAGGCTAGCCAAACACAACCTAATTAATCATTCTGAATCAATTTTTAATAAAATTTGCCATATGGTTCTAAAAATTCCAAATAACACATTGATGTAATCAATTTCAGTTTCGGACGCCGATAAGGCTTTCAATTTTCATATTAAAGTGGAATTCTAGACAAATATTTCTACAAGTAACAGATAGAAAGCCAAAATCATGCAAAATACAGAATAAACACATAATTTCTTTTAATCCTCTCATTAGCATCATTAACTACGGATTAGTAGCTAATTACGGATCGGGGTTGTTACAAATATATAGATAAATGTTGGGGGTGATTAAATCAAAATGCTGTTGTGTAAATTGTGTAATTAAATGAAATAAATAAACAGATTTATATTTAATAAATTATAATACAGAACATGAAATCATGAGAAATTACAACTAGATTGAATAGAAATACATAACAAAATAAAACAAAGAAAAGATAGCAAACCGAAACCTGTGTAATATCACAGTCTCCTTAAAACAGATTCGCTGCCTCACCGTGTGTGCTAGTGGTGTATTGGCATCTGTCTCCCAAGATACGACAATATAGACCCGTTAATGCAGAAACATCTTCTGTTTAGTTTCGGCGAACTGACAATGACAGTATTCTCTAACACATGAAGAAAAATATATGGCAGACTGACTGTATAATATAGAGGCAAAAAATTATGTGTCAAAACCAAGGAAGATGACCTCCTTTTATATACAATGTGGAAGAGGGGAAGAGAGGAAAAACCTCCAGCTATGAAGGTTGGCAACAAATGCAACCCATTATTTCTGCAAAACTGATGGAGTAATATGCAAAATTGATGGGGAATAAGTGTGTGAGTTATACACTATATATACACGTGTGTATATCTGCAGCCATCAAAAAAACCTGGCTCAAAAAGATTAAGTTGGTAGACCAACAATCCGGCCCAGCCCAAACCTCAGCCCAAGGGCACAGATCACGGACCTAGACTCGACCGGGTCTGGTTTAGGGGGGCGGCGCGCATGTGACAATTTTTGCATAACTAACTTGGACCATAATTTTGGCCCAAGCCCATCCTTGAAGCATCCATAACTTCTTTCAAAAAATTTGGATACCTCAAAAGGCTCATGCCCGTATCAAAATCTTGAGGTTTAAATATCCATCAATGCTTTCCTCTACGATCAATATATGATTGGTAGTTATACACAATTTCCAATACCTCATGCATGAGGCTTACTTTATGAGATAATTTCTTATTCAATTCTTAATATTTTTTGTTATTCTTTTTGTGGTGTAAAAATTTTGTTACAAAGAATCTAAACCTATTTAATCCCACCTCAACCAATAGTTAGGACCTTCTTTAGCCATCGTTTGGGAAGAGCTAAAATAGCTCAGCTTTTGCCTTTTTGACTATTTTAGCCTGATTTTTCTAGCCGCGTTTGGTTTATTTGTTTTTGGCTTTTTTGACTTTTATGAGAAAAAAAGTATATTGATTATAGTTTAGACGTGACGTTTTGTCTTATTAACTTATGTAGTCATTTTAACTTTTTGTGTTTTTTTTTTTTTTTTTATCAAAAAGCCAAAACAAAACATAATTTTAATTTCATATTAAAATCACCATAAAATTATATTTCCAACAAATGCTGCACGACAAATAGACCTTGAATATCTAGGAGCATCTATAACTGTCCAAAACAATCGTGTCCTCTTGTTCTTGGAAGAGAACGTTAAATATACCAATTGTCCAGTAAAGGACAATAATTCTATTCTACACTATACCATTAAGTAGCTTCAAGTCCTACTGTCTCATATCCTCGTGATTTCTAGATGCTAGCACTTGTAACGGTTATATGCATGATTGACGCCGCTCTGCACACTGCCATTAGGAATACAGATATAATATAATGCAATAAAAGAAAAAGAACTCCCTTAAATGATAATCAAATATATAGCATTATTCTAATCACATACATCTCTTGATTAAAACATTAAGACCGTCCAACATGAAATCCAGAATTCAACATTAATTATACTGAAAGTCAAACAATACTTCAATTTGCTATGCTGATTTTTACACAATTATCATTTGAAACGTTCACCTAATTTGCAACCATAAATTTATAAAGCAAAGCAACCCAACAAAGGAAAAATGCCCGATTTTCTTCAGCATTATTCCTGTAAACATATTAGAACCAAACATAGGAAGACCAAAAATTGTACCTCAAACTGCAAGATCATCTGCCATCATCAATGTTCAACATGGAGAACACTCCGTGCGCATATAAACGACTTGTATCTGTAAAATCATCCATGGGAATGTCATATTCATCAATTGGGATGCTATGAGAAGGCAACTGCTGAATGGCAGGCACCGGCAGCACCCACGATGCGTCTGTTGTGCTGTCCTCATGAGGTTCTCTGTGCCTTGCAGTTTGTTGAAGCTGCAGTGCATATTCCAAGTCCCACACAACATCATTCATGTTGGGCCTTTGAACACCATATTCTTTCAAACACTTCTCCACCGTTTCACCAAACTTTCTCAACGAATTGGGATTGATCTTGCCCACAAGCAAAGGATCAACAATATTTTCAAGCTGCCCTTTCTTTTGCCAAAACAACCCCCATTCAGCCAAGTTCACTTCCTTCCCAGGAAGCGAGTTATTGATGGCTGGTCTTGCACAAAGCACTTCTAGGAGGACTACCCCAAATGAGTAAACATCGGATTTCTGCGTTAACTGTAGGCATCTAAAATATTCAGGATCAAGGTAACCAAAACTACCTTTTACACCTGTGCTGACATGGGTTTGATCAAGATCACCTAATCTTGAGAGACCAAAATCAGCAACTTTAGCCACATAATCCTCATCAAGTAAGATGTTCGTTGACTTAACATCACGGTGAATGATGCCTCTTCCTGAACTATTATGAAGATAATCTAGACCCTTTGCAGCACCAATGCAAAGTTGAAGCCTTTGGTTCCAAGACAATTCAGATTGTGACGATGATTTCTGAGACTCTCCATTCAAAATGTATAGATGATCCCTCAGAGTCCCCTTCTCCATGAACTCGTAAACAAGTATCATCTCAGACCTTTCATCACAATACCCAATCAAGGAAACAAGATGGCGATGGCGAATTGAGGACAAGACTATGATCTCTGTATGGAATTCTGGACGGCCCTGGCCATTTCCTGGCTCACTTCGTTTGACAGCCACCTTCATGCCATTCCGAAGAGTTGCTTTGTAGACTTTTCCAAACCCACCCTCACCAATCATCAACTTAGTGTCAAAATTATTAGTTGCAAACAGAATTTCTTGAAAAGATAGCTTCAACCCAAGATTTAGATTATCAAGAGGGAAGCCATTGACCGTTCTTTCAGTAGTACTAACATAAGAACTGCCACCTCCATAATCAGGGATTGCCTGCCAAACTGAAGGTTCAACAGGCTTTGCTCTCTTGCAATTCAGAAACACCACGACCACTACTACCAACATTAGCAGAGACGCCACACTTCCAACAACCGAACCAACTACAACAAACAGATGTTTCTTCGGTGGCTTCTTCACCTCAGTTACCAAACCCGATCCCGTTATTACCTCCATGATCTCTACCCCATTCAGAAAAGCTGTTTTAGTTATTGAATCATTCCGAGGGCCAATAATGATATCCATAAGGCCAGAATTGTCAGAATCAACCACGAAATCTTCGTAAAATGGAACTGCCAACTGGCCAACAACATTATATGGAAATATGTTCTGACTAAACTTGCTATACAGATACAGATTGAACTGAAGAACATCATTATAGGATGTGCTAACTATGTCGCAAAAATGTACTCGAACGAAGTGTGGAGCATTCTTACTCACATTGAACCGCCACGTTATATTGACGAAATTTGAACCCCCACTAGAGTTTACATTCAATTCTTTTGCTGTTTGGTAGACAAGATCAGGGGCAGAGTACTCAGTAGCTCCTCCAGGACGGTATGCAGGCCTATCACTATGAAATTCACTGTTCTTCGCCGCATTGGGGGTAACTAAATAATCATCATCAGATACCCAATTCCTCCATAGTGTATCTTTATTTGGTGTGATCGGAGGACCACCCACATTAGCCCTATAAACTGTGTGCAGGGCTTGAGAAAGCAAGCCATCGTAGGTACCGCGAGCTCCTGAAGGAGTCACATGAATGGGCGGAGTCGAAACATCTGTGATGTTAGGGGCAAGAAAAACCTCAATCGCATTTGCAAAGGCAAAAGACGATTTCTGGGTAGGTGTGAAAGAGATTATAAATTCGGATACATTGATGGTGAGCATGAATTCATTGATTATAGGGTTTTGAACACTGAAATTCGACAACAGAGAAAACCCAGAAGCCGAAACGTTGAATTGGGCATTTGAGAGATTTTTCTTCGAAGAAGAGAAAGCATAAAAATGGAGGCGTACCATGTAAGTCCCACTCGGGTCGATTTGGAGCACATATGAAGACGGGTTTGTGAAGATTCTTGCGGTTTGATACAGAGGAGAGGAGTTTGATGTGTTGGTGTCTGAGACGGAGCTGGTTTTTCCGACGAGGTAAAAGGAGCCGGAATTCTCGTCGGAGATGAAGTTCCGGTTGGGCGCGCCGGTGACTGAGACGTCGGAGTTTGAGCCGCAGTTGATGAAGTACTTGTTTGGTAAAGTGTAGGCTGATGAGAGAAGAGAGAGAGATGAGAATTGAAGAAGATGGAGGAAGAGGAGAGAGAGAAGAGGATTGTGGGAGCGAAGAGTTTCCATGGAATTGTAGTTGTTGTTGTTAAGGTAAGTTTGCTTCTGTTTATGAATGGAGTGAGTGAATGAATACAGGTGAACTGGAAAACCTAATCGTGTAATGTATGGACGACGAAGAAAGTGGAACATTCAAACTGACAAATCGGTTGACCAAGTCAGGCAATTGTCACATGAATTGTCACATGAATTTTTTTTACATTAAGGCCAAGTTTGGAAAATTTAAAAAAAATCAAAAAGTCAAAAAGTTATTTAAAAAGTTAAAAAGTTAATACTATTCATCAAAAGTCAACAATTATGGCTGCACAATTCCCAATTCAAATTTTTCCCTATAAATCAATTTTTATCAATTTTTACAATTTTTTATTACACATTTTTCAATAAAAAGTCAAAAAGTTAACCCAAACATCCATATTTTCAATCTCAATTTTTTAGTACAAAAAGACAAAAAGTACACTTTTTTAGTCTTCCCAAACTTGGCTTAAATTGTCACATGAATTGTCACATGATTTTTTTTTTTTTTACATTAAATTGTCACATGAATTCTTTTTACATTAAAAAAAATATTTTTTTAATAAATTTTCAAATATTTTAACTTCTAAAAAAATCAAAAAATACTAAAAATGCCAACCCAAAGAAACCCTAAATAAATGAGACCCACTTGAAAGATTAACCATAGTTAAGTTTGTTTGATGAGGTTTTTTCTTTTTTTTCAGGTAAAGAAATTCTTGAAGTTGGAGTTGTTGCCATAGAAATTGCATTTCTATAAAACTCCCCAAAAATCAATTTTCACTCATGGCGTGTCATTTAGGCCTTGTTTGGAGTGTCTTAAAAAAGTAAAAAAATCAAAAAATTAAAAAGTCACTATTTTATTTAAGTTACATCATCTTATTTAAGTTATATCGCCTCTCTACTACATCATTTCAAACACAACTCATATTTTATAAAAAATCAAAAAATACACTTATTTAAAACATTCCAAACAACCCCTTAGTATTAAGCAACTGTAATAAGTCAACTATTCACCTCGTGAAGCTTTTCTCAAAAAGGAAATATTACTACAGAGGATATAATAAATCTAAGGATATAATTGGATTTATGACACCTTCTATCCTTATATTATTTACAAAATTATTTATAAGTCTTATTTACAAGAATTATTTATATGAAATCTTATAAATATTCTTTTAGAATTTGAAATTCTATTTAAATAGGAATGTGTTCCATAAAATCCTATGAGTTGTAAATGAATGATATTAGTGTACTATTATACCCTTAATTTGTTTTCATATTGTACCTTATTTTATCATTCATCATATCACATTTGAAAAGGTTTTTAGGAAAGACAAGTCTACAAGCAACGACCGTACGAGTTTTTTTTGGCTTTGATCGCGAGATTCAAGTGCATTTTCAAAATATTGCTTACATGGATATGGATATGGTCGATGATATGATGAAGTTTGAGAGTTGTGTGTTGATTCCCATGACAAATTTTGGCTTTAATCAGTTGAGGGGAAGATGTATGTTTTTGTGTGTTTGTTTGTTTGTTTTTTGTTATAGTGTGTTGTTATTTGTTGAAGTGCGGATTGTTCATCTTTAATAAGGCATTGACAATCTATTACACTCATTGATAGGCATACATTGGCCAATGCTCTGATTGAATGTGTGTATTTGACATTGTGATGGTTGATGCGTTTTGATATGTTCAACGTGTGGGGTGGTGTGTATGGTTTCGGGTTGGGTTGAGGGTGTTTGGTTTCGATTGTTAATTGGATGTCGAATGTAAACCAACATATGAGAATGTCACATTTTATAGAAATGCAATTTCTATGGCAACAACTTCAAGAATTTCTTTACTTGAAAAGAAATCTCTTCAAGAATTGCTTGAATGTGCTCAGCATCACGATGTGTTCCGCATAAACCATGCTGTAGGATGACAATTGTACATTGGGACCTAGATGATCGTATTACGATTCATGTTACATTTAGTGTGCAACGTTAACTCATATACACCATGTAGTAGATGACATTTGTATGTTTGTTCAATTGTATATGTGTTTGAATGTGTATCGTATCTTTGTTGTAATCGATGTTTACATACATGTCACTGTACATTGAGCAAAATTATTAGGGATTTGAGTTTGTAATTGAATGTGAATATCATCCCATCGCTCAATGTTGAAATTACGCTGGGTTGGGGATGATGGTGGTTCAATACACGGGTTAGGTTAGGACGTTACATGTTACATTTAGGAGGTTACAATATTCATAATTCAATGGTGGAGTATTGGAATGCCACGTTGGGTTTCGAATGAGATGCATATGGGAATGTCACGGTGGCTTTGGGATGTTACATGTTACATTTACATTGGTTTGGGATGAGAAGCATATGAGAATGTAACATTGGGTTTATGAATGTCACATTGGGTTTGGAATGTTACATGTTACATTTATATTTTGAATTTCAAATTTCCAACCATATAGATACGATCATAATCTATGGTAACATTGGATTTCCCATATATGGTATGCCATTAATCAAGTTATTTTGAATTTCAATGTCACGTTAGGTTTGGGAATGTCATATTGAGTTTGGGATGTTACATATTATATTAATGTAGACACCCCATTTTTGACCGACCTTAAGACTCAGACGTCATCGATTGAGCGCTCGGTGATTGCACATGTTATGCTCGTTCTAAGGTTACGGAGTCTTGGCTGAGAGCCTTACCCCCAGACCTCGAGACTCTTTTGTGCTTTGCATCCGTTTGCGAACCAGGTTCTGTCTTCTCTTCCTGAAGGGAGGGAGAGATCTCGTAGACCATCTCTCAGTGGCCGTAGGCTACTTTTCGTGGTCGTAGACCACTGTTCCCGTTTGGAGACCAGTTTCTGGTTTTCGAACCCGTCGGTCGTGCGCCTCGATTCGAGACCGCTTAACTTTCTCCGTTTGCTCCGATTTTTGGCACACACCTTGTTTCCTCTCTCTAGAGGGACACTGTGGCCCGGGAGACCACCTTCGTGGTCGCACGCCACTTTCGATGCTTAACAGTCAGTTTTCAGGACACCCGACTGCACGTTTTTGCCCCCGAACACTTGTTTTGCATCCGTCTTGGTTCATTTTTGGCATGGACCCTATTTTCATTGTTTGAAAGGTGGTACAGGGGTGGGAGACCACCTTTTTTTCTTGGAGACCACTTTTTCCCGCCGGTCGATTTTTTTTGTCAGGTAGCTGGTCTCCCTAACTTTTGAGCCATAATTGCTAGTCTCCCACCACACCACTAGCTTGCATTGAGTGAGAAGACCACCCTAGGAGATGGCCGACCACCATTCACTCATTTGACCCTTTTGAATTGGTCGGCCGACCAGGGGAAGTGGTCGGCCGACCCCCTGAACTGGTTGGCCTGCCTCCTCCTGTCTTGTCCCTGTGAGTTGTTGCCAGCTGTGCCAGCTGGAAAGCACAGAATTGATCCTCCATACACGTGTATAGAGGATCTTCAAACTTGGTTTTTGGCTTCTTGAAGAAGCTTTGGACCTCTTTGGCTATAAGAGGGACCCTCTCCCTCATTAGCAAAGGTTCAAATTTTTGGTCTAAGGCATATATACCTCTCTCTCTCTCTCTCTCTCTCTATATCTCTACATTCAAGATCAAAAAGGGCCTCGTTCTTGCACCATTGCATATCAACCCTTAGCCTAACACCTCCAACACCAACCTAAGCTTCTTGGAGGTCATTTGCAGAGGTTAAAGGCTGAGTTTTTGGTCCAGAGGTTGCTGGCCTTGCTGAGCTACAAGGGTAACACACTAGTTCCCTCTTTTTAGCATTGTTTTGATCCTTGTTTTAGCTATACTTGCAAGCATATTTGGGCTTTATCATAAACTAAAAAAAGTCTTATTTTGAGGTTCTTAACATGTTTGTTTAAGATCATTTTTCTATTGGGGGTCATCTACCCTCTTGCATGCTTCATTTCACCTTGTTTTGAGCCATGCATTAAGGCCTTTGTTTTGAGCTTTGTTTGCCCTTTTGATCACTGAAATCCAATGGATTTTCAGTGATTAATATGTGTTTTTGAGAGCCAAAATTAGAGAGGGGTGACACCCTCTCTCCTTGTTTTGATTTCTAGCATATTTGGCCTGACAAAGGAGCCCTTATTTGTATGCTTCCAAGCCATGTTTCAGGCCATTTTTGGTGAGTTTTAGGACTTGCATAGGCTCTGTCCAGAGCCCATTTTTCCATTTTGGGTGTCCATCTTGCATGCGTAGAATAACCCTCTTTATAGCCTATCAAAGGAGCCTATCATTCTTGCATGCATAGACCATGTTTCAGTAGGTTTTTGAGCTTTATTTGGCATATCATACCTCTTAATTTTCCTGGTTTGATGGCCTCTTGATTGTCTCACACGCTTGTAGTGCAAATCCTTTTTACTAGCTTACATTGCATGCTATTTTGGCCTTTAATTCTAGCACTTTTTGGCCATGCTTTAAACTGATTTTGTGCATGTTTTGGACTGCCTTAGCTCTGTTTTTATGCCTCATGGTCGAATGATGCTTGCTATGCATGGTTGTAGTTCAATACCCTTGCCTAGTTTTGAGTTTTGGAGTCTATTGCATGCTTATGTTGAAGTGTTTCCATGTTTTGGGGCCATTGTGAATCATATTTTAGAGCTTACATGTATGCCATACTCCCATGTTTTCCACTCTTTAAATGCGTTTGAGAGTTGTGCTTGTATGCCTCGTTTTTGGACCATTGCATGAGCTTCATTTCCATGCATTTCGAACCATCATTTTAGACTATTTTCCCACTATCTTGGACCTACCTAGGGTCTGTTTGGGGCTGGTTTTTTCATTTGTGCATTGCTTTGTATACCCCTAGTGTAATGCGCTTAACTAGTTTCGGTATTCGGGCCATCTAGCATGCATTGTGTGAGGTGTTTGCATGATTCGGAACCATCTTGCATGTTATTTCAGAGCTGAAAAATGTATGATTGTATGCTATATTTCATCCCTTGCCATTCTTTGGTAGAGTGACATTTGATGCCTTAAGTTCGGTCCCTTGCATTGGGCATGTTTGTATGAATGTTCTTGCCTAATTTCATCATGTTTGGGCCACCGAGTTGGACA